TACATATTCTTATGCATTACGTGTTATGCGTTATGCAAGAGTCTGTGCTCCCCGCTTTAGGCTGGAGTCCCATGAGGTGTATTTATCCCATATCGCGTAACCGCGTAACCAATCAATAATCAGTAAAACGCGAAACCACAACAGCGGATCGCTTCTGATTGGTTACGCGGTTACGCGATACGCGGCAAACACGCTTCATGGGACTCCACCCTTAGTCTCTGCTTGTCACCGGTTGGATTGGTGTCCGGAGTCGCCGCCATCTGCAGTAGCGAGGGCCATATTAAACTAAACTCGTTGTATTGGTGCACTCAGCTTCAGCTTATTCTCTGTTTTTGATATGTTCAGTGTAATATTTATTGGATAAGATTTTTATAAGTTTCCTTATATTTCAGATTAAAATGTCGAAAATGAATTCGAAAGATAAAGACAACAAAACGTTGCACGATAAACTCAAGCAATTTTTTCGCATAAATAAAGGTAAATGTATTATAGGCCTTCTACAATAAGCCGCAAGTTAGAACGTCAGAAGTCTTAACTAGTTTTAACCAAGTTGTTCAAGTTGGCTATTGGCCAACTTCACGGATTATGACTTAAGATCGCTTAGAACTTCTGACTTGCGGCTTATTGTAGAATGTCTATTATGTTTCGAATATCTTGTATATCGCAAGTTGTACGTTATATCCAATATTTATAATTATATCGATCGTCTTTTTGCAGGAAGTTACAAGAGTCGCGAAGAATTCACTTTGACTTATGATATCGAAAAAGAAATTAGTCCAGACAGTCCAGTGCATCATCGTACGAAAGCGATTAAAGAGCTTCGTGATGCAGTGCTTAATCAACAGTGGGAAGATGTATATATACATCCTTATCTACATTTATCTAAAAAAACTAGTGTCATTCTAAATGTACAAGTATAAAAAATTAGACAAAAATAATGCTTTACATTTAACTTTTTTTCTGTTTGTTTCTAATAACAGAGAGCGGCTGAACGTTTGTGGAATTTAGTTCAAGACTTACTAGGAAAGGATGTTCCTCGCGAACATAGGCATTTAACCTTGAATTTTTTAAAATGCCTTGTACAAGGACAATATTCTAAACTTTCATCATTGATGCGTGTAAAATTTTTCATGGTGGTAAAGGAATACGATATTCCTGAAGATATTGGTCCTAGGTATTTTGATAAGCAATATCTTTTACCTCATTTTAACTATTACTGTTTTGTCTTATCTCTCTCTCATTTTTTTGATATTTCAGATTGGAATTGTTACAAACATTAACAGAACATGGAAAAGATATTTTACATTTAGAAGAAAGAATGGGTCCTTTCCTGTTAGAATGGATGCCTACAGTAACAGCAGGAGATGGGAAAAGAGGAGCTGAATTTTTGTCTCTTCTTGTTAATGTTATCAAATTCAACTCTGCTTACATCGATGAGGATATTATATCTGGTCTCGTCCAGTAAATATCTTAAAAATCTATTTTTTTTCTTACTATAAGTGAAATTACTATATTCATATAATAAATTATCATAATTTTTTCAGATATATTTCTCATTTGTGTTATTATAGTAATAATACCGAAGTTGTTTCTGGATGTTTGGAAGCTCTTGATGCTATTATGTGTTATAGTAATTTACAATCTGACTCATTGCAAACTTTTATTATAGCCTTGTGCAGAAGTGTAAATGTTGAGACTTATTGCCAAACAAGTTGGAAGGTACAGTAATATTTAAATGTGTTTAGAAACATGTAAACATCTTTTCCTTTATTGATTATCTACTACAAATAGATATACTACATATTTATACATATAAGTGATATACATTCTATGCTATATATATATATATATATATATAGTATATGTAGAATATATATAGAGTATATATACTATACATACTCTACACTGCACATAGTTTTCTTTTAATAAATTTAGAAAGGCTGTGTATTACATATGTTCTAAAATTAGTAAATAAAATATGGAGTATATGTACATACATTATAATGGTTTTACAGATTATGCGAAATTTATTAGGAACACATATGGGTCATTGTGCTTTGTATACAATGTGCCGCTTGTTACAAGATACTAACTTTCAACGTGACGTTCGTCTATTACGAGGTGCAGTGTTTTATGTAAATATGGGTTTGTGGGGTACGCATAGAATACCAAAATTAGAATGTACGCCAGCATCTGTTTTACCTTCGTTCTATCAAGTATGTATACATCTGTTTTACCTTTATTTTATGAAGTATTGATGTATACATGTACATGCGTGCAATATTAGATATAATAAAATGTATGATGACTCTCTACATTAACAGGCTCTACAATGCAATCATCCAATTGTTATGTATGAGGTCACCCTATCAATACAAAGATTGGTGAATAAATATGGTAATGAATTATGGGATCCTACATGGAGCATCATTCTTGATATCATAGAAGAAATTATTACTCACACTGGTAAAGCTTATTAAAATGTTATATTTATTCTAATTAAAGAAAAACAGTAACTACAATAATGTATAGTTATTATATACATACATATGTATAATAAAATTATGATTTTTATGCATTGTTTTAGAAACTAGTAATCAGCCAGCAACCAAACAGGTTTCTATGAGTTTACATGAGACGATGACTAATATTGAAAGTTTACTTGATGCAAACAATTATAACGGTTGCATACAACGTTTTTATGATCTTATTGAACGTTGTAGCGATTCTCGACCTGTAAGTGCATATAGATGCAAAATGATATAAGTGAATATTTGTAAACAGTTATTATTTTTTTATTTTTAGGAAGGATCTGTATTAAAATTAATTGAATACAGAGCTTCTGTGATAGGTCCTACATATTATCAATGGCAGACCAAATTAGGATCTTTGATGGAACGTTACTATAAAATTGAAACACGTACAACCATTAGAATGAAGGTTCTGGATGTTCTAACTAATGTCATTTATGTTAATAGGTATTATAAACTTGCTTGATTTAATAATACTGCTGCGCTCTAACTTTCTCTTACACATATACAGACATATATATATATATATATATATTATTATTATAAACATTGCTTATAGGTCCAGATATGAAGATGAGCTTATTGAGCGAATAGTTGTACCATACACACAACACGTGGATATAGATCCAGATATTACAATTCGTACCGTCACAGCAAATTTACTAATAGATCTTTGTTTGGAATGTGATACTAAGCGATGCATAGAACTTTTAGACATACTGGAAAAGGTATTAAAATTGCTTAAGAACAAAAGTGTGTATATGCATTTATAGTGAGATAATTTGTTTATTTTAGATAATCAACAAGCCTTTCATATCAGACACTCCAATATCTATGGATGCCGATATTAAAGATGTAAAAACTGCTGTTGTTGGAGTTATAAAGATATTTACTTCTAAAATTTATCGCTTACCATCGAGTCACGCAATTTGTGCTTACAAAATTTTAGTGAATCATCTTGAGCAACATTACAAAGACCCCTCAGTCTTCCATGATGTATCAACAACACGTTATTTGGTAATTATTTTGTTAATAGGCTAAAACTTATAAATATACATATACACACACGCGTGTACGCGAGCACGCGCATACATGCACACATACATTCACACTCGTATACATGCACTAATGTAACATATTACAGATTTTTGAGTGTTTTTTAAAAATCAGAGCAAATTCTTTGCATCATCTTGGTATATTAGATACATCAAATGCTACTGTAACACGATTTAGTCCATATCTTGTTTTGGAACATGGTACAAGTGAACGTATGAACAATGCAGGTGGTGGCAACAGTCCTCCACCTGCAAGTCCAGTGCCATTGCAACATTTATCTTGTCATATTACTTCGATATCTTTGACTCATGGGTGTAAAACTATTATTTCTTGTATCAAACAAGAAAAAGGTAATGCCTTGAAATAATTTTATTCTTTCACATGCACACACGTAATATATGTAATTCATACATATATCTTTTTCTTGACAGATTGGAAAGTTTTATATCTCGTATTAAAAGAATTACCTCAAGTAATGCAGAATAGAGCACTGGTGTTATCTCGTCATAGTAATGATATTGACTTTTTTGCAGCAGCTTTGTGTTCAATGGTTAACTCTTTATTCTTAATCTCTTTCTTATAAATATTATATTATTTCTTAAATACTTATTAATTTCGTTAAATATAATATTTAGGTGAGTGACAAGAGTTTGCGTCTCCCTGAGTCACTTTATAATGTTCCACCTAAATTTACTCTTTCCGAATTTCGAGTCTACGTTTTTCCAGTACTTGCATCTCTAGCATCATATCATGCACATTTGGAACCTTATTTACAACAAAGTTTAATAAAATGTCTAGAGGTAAGAGAAAGAGAAAAACATGTACTTTGTACAGAATGTAGCGCGCGTGCGTGCGAGAGAGAGAGAGAGAGAATTACAATGCACGAAAATTGTTTTATCTCTCTACAAAGTATATTCGGGAAATGACAAAAATTTTAATCTTTAGGTTGGTCTCACAGCAAAGTGCGCAAGCCAGTGTGTAACCAGTCTCACAATTTGCACATTAGAAATGCGTGATGCAATGAATAAACTTTTGTCTGAAGTGCTTTTAAATTTATCAAAAATTTCTGCGACAGTCTATATTGCTATACCTATTATAGAATTCTTATCAAGTATGTTTTCTACTGTTAAAAATTAGTTATTAAATCGAACTTTTTAAATTCGTGATATCAAGTTTATAAATATAATTTTTATTTTAGCTCTAACTAGACTTCCGAAAGTTTTTGCTAGCTTTATTGGAGATCAATATATGTCTGTATTTGCAATACTGTTGCCGTACACCAATCCTTTCAAGTATAATCATTATACCGTATCTCTGGCTTATCATGTAATTGCTGTATGGTTTTTGAAATGCAGACTTCCTTTTCGGAGAGAATTTGTTAAATTTATTACTACAGTATGTATATATATTCTAGTTACATGTATTCTAGTTAATATCGATTAATTTCTTAAGATATTGAACAAAATTATTTTTTATTTTTGAAAAACAGGGATTGAAGGCAAATGTGATAATTCCTCTTGAAGAAGGACATCTAATGAAATCTGATTTTAGTGTCATTAACGAAGATTCTTCAAACAGAAAACGTAGTTCTAGTCTGACTGAACAAGTAGGAATAAAGATCTATTATAATTGTATTTATAATATTTATTTTTTATAATTATATTCGAAATCCTTTTTAATAATGTTAGAATTAAAAAATTTGTTATCGTGTGTATGTGTACATGTGCATTTATGTTTTTCGCTATTATTTGATATAAATTAAACATATTTATATGTAATATAATTTTTTGTATGTACAGGGTAGTAGAGGTCGAAGAGAAAGACCCATAATGGCTAATCGAATGATAGGAGAAAGTAGAGCTTTAGACTTAAAACCTCCAATGGATGAAGGTCTAATGAATTTTCATATTGAGCTTATTGAAACTTGTATTGATTTAATGGCTCGTTATACATTTTCAAATTATTCAGCACGGCCTAAAAGGTAACGAATTTTTTAATTTCCCTTAATTGTGATTACAAATAATTACATTAATTTTACAACAGGTTACCAGCTGCTGATTTTCTCCTGAAAGAAGGCCAGTCAATGACTTGGATTCTTGGTAATAGACTTATCACTGTAACGACAAGTGGTTGTAGTAATAAAGCTATGCGTGGTGGACTTTGTGACAATTGTTGGGCAGCATGTAAACCTGGCTTTCTGTTACTCGATCACACAAAAACCTCTCACTCAATCTTACAGCGTACTTCAAGTATTGAGGTATTTATTTGTATAATTATCTTTTACATTCAGATTTATATAACTATTTAATCTATTTGGAAAGCAACATGAATTCTCTCTCTCATATAAATATTCTAAAGTATCATTTAAAATGATATAATATAATTGTAAAAAAATAGATATACATATGTATATGCACTACACTGAAAATAGTAAATATAATTGCATTACATATTCAGAAAAGACATAAGTATAACATAAGTAATTATATTGACAGACATCGAAAGAAGATAAATTATCTAGACAATCTTCTGGTGGTCATGGGAGTTCAAATGCAAATACTGCTACAAATTCTCCTACGGAAGAATCTAAAAAATCTACAGAAGAATCTGATAGTACGAAAAAGGAATTTCTTATGGAGAAAACTGACAAGGATCAAATTGAAACATCAAAATTAGGACAAATATTAAATAATGATAAACAAGATGGACATATATTGTGTGCTTGTTGGTGTCAAGGATGGGCTGAAATATATGTTCGTAGACCTACAGGCGATATGTCATGGATTATGAGAATCCAGAATTCAACACAATTTGAAACTCCTATGGATTTTCCTGTACATGACATTATGGCTTTGTATATGCCAAATCAAGATACAGTACAAAATAAACAACAGGAGGCTGCTTCAGAATTCTCAGATGATGAAACAGAGGTATTTCTAAAGTTAATTGATAATAAATCTTATTTAGAAAAAGGACTATAAATATTTCTTATTATAGGATGTGCCAAACAAAAATAATAATCAGATACAAAATGAACATGTGAAACCAGTAATTTCGTCTATAGTATCAGGTCCAATTGCAATACCTGGTTCGCCAGCTCGGCCTAGTCCATCTCGGCAAAGTTCAAGAGACAGTTTAGAAAGTTTAGAAGAAGGTGAAGAAGGTATTTATTATATTATTTATTGTATTATAGTATTTATATTATTTATGATTTTCAAAAAATAAATCTAAAAAAATGAAAATCTTCCATAGATACGCGACGTTCTAGAAATCCAGTACGCCGATCAAATTCAAGTCCAGAAATGAGCGCTAATTGGAAAAATCCATTTTTAAATAAAGAAAAACTAAATGTGCAACAACAACAAATTGATAAAGATTTTACTTGCTCAGAGCTAGAGATTAAATTGGATGCGGAATTGAAGAAGCATTCAAAAAATATTTATACAAAAGACATGAGGTATATATTTTTTATTAAAAACATGTACAGGGTGTTACACTACCATACAGGTCAGTATGACGGGTTGCCCATTCGTACAGGCGCGCGAGATCGTTCACAATTGCGTAGACTTCGGCAGCACCATCATAGCACACCTTTTTTCCAATAAAGTTCGTAGCATATCAAATTGTGATACAATTTTGACGAACTTTTGTAGAAATAGGTTAAAACAAAAACCGAAGTAACAAGATATAGATTATAAAAACGAATTTTATCGTGAAAACGAAGCATGTTTTCCTTCTTATAAGAAAAATTCATCATATTATTGAATGTAATCATTGTGTAATATAATTTGATTGCTCGAATTATTTTTACAGAGAACGAAAGTCAGAAATAAACATATGTTTGCAAATTTAAATTATAAATCGACCAATAAATTTGATTCACTGTAAATTTAAATAACAGCAATTATCGTTAAATCTTATAATATTTATTTGGAAGAATAGCAATTCATTAATAAATTGATAATTTAATAAACTGTGATAAATAAGCATTATACAATTCTTTATATAATATGCAGTCATTTATATAAAGAATTGTATAATGCTTATTAATTTTTCTTATAAGAAGGAAAACATGCTTTGTTTTCACAATAAAATTCGCTTTTATATCTTGTTATTTCTGTTTTAACCTATTTCTACGAAAGTTCGTCATAATTGCATCACAATTTAATATTTTATGAACTTTATTGGAAAAAAAGGTGTGCTATGATGGTGCCGCCGAAGTCTACGCAATTGTGAACGATCTTGCGCGCCTGCACGAATGGGCAACCCGTCATACTGACCTGTATGGTGGTGCAACACCATGTACATATTCATTATTATTATTATGTTTATGGTAATTGGTAATAAAGGATAAAGTAAATTCAGAAAATTGCGCATTCCGAAGAAGTGCTTGTATTCAAATAAATTATTAAGCTCAAGCATTATATTCATTTATTGAATTTTATTATATAAAGAAAAATTATTTTTAATAACTATATTTTTAATACTTATTTGCGTAATTTATAGAGTTAGTTGCGAAGCTATACCAGAAGAAATATTTGGTATGGGAACAACCCCACCTTCTTCAGAAAATACTGGAGATCATCCAACTACATTACGTTCGCAACGTTCTTATCCAGGAGCAACACAAATTACTCAAACTATTTCAACAACTAGTAATACCGTACCACCATCTCCTACAACTGTACAGGTTGAAATAATATACTAATGAAGTATTAAGAAAATAACGAAATATACTTTTTTATGTAATGCGAAAATGATTTTAGGCACCAGGAAGTTATTTAGGAATACAAACACGTTCTGCACAAATACAATCATCTACCACAAAAGCACCGCAATCACCTACTCAAATTTATTCTCGATTATCTAGTCTCGATTATAATCAGAAGCAAACTCCATTAACTGTTGAAAGTAAACCACCCATTGGGCGGACTCATATTGTAGATAAGGTATGCCAAGGAATTATTTTTTTCTCTTATTTTTAGTATATTACACAAATTATGACTGATTATTCATTTTAGCAGAAAGATGAAAGGCCAGATCCATCTACATTGCCTCCTTTACCTTTACCTTTTCGCGACAGAGGTCACACAATCTCTGTTATGAGCCCAGCTAAAAAATCACGAGACTGGGATAACATACGACGAGGCAATTCTCCTCGAGTAAAAGAACCGCCGCGAACAGGCATTAATCCAAGGTATATTTACCATGTATCTTCCTTCTTATGAAACTGTGACATTTTTTCACATTTTAAAATGTTTTATTATACTGTGAGAATTACATCTCTTCTCTCTTGAGACAAAAAATTAATATGTTGTCCCGTTACAGTTTTGTATTCCTTCAACTTTACCATGCAGCGCATTTTGGCACTACCACAGAAAAGCCTTTAATGGTTCCACAGACAACAGCCATACAACGCGCAGTTACGAACCTAGATAGAATACAGCCGTATGAAACTCACAAAATTGGAGTACTTTATGTCGGCCTGGGTCAAGCTTCAAATGAAATTGAAATTTTAGCAAATCAACATGGTTCGCTTCGTTATACTGAATTTTTGAAACGTTTAGGTACATTAGTTCGACTAAAAGATGTCGACGAAAATATATTTTTGGGTGGATTAGATCGTAATGGTGAGAATGGAGAGTTTGCTTATATTTGGCAAGATGACGTTACACAGGTTTGTAAATAAAAATTACGTATCAAATTAACACTTAATTTGTCATTCTTTCGTGTGTGATTTTTAAAATAATTTTATTTGAAAAAACTTTCTAGGTAGCTTTTCATGTTGCAACATTAATGCCTACAAAAGCAAGTGACCCAAAGTGTACATCTAAAAAAACACATATTGGGAATAATTATGTAACACTTGTATACAATGAATCTGATGAACCATATAATATACAGACAGTTAAAGTACGCATAAGATTAAAACGTCATAATACGTGTTTCAAAATTTTATTGTATGTGTGTGTGTATATATAATTCTTGTACTCTTATGTATATTTTTAGGGTCAATTTAATTATGCCTGTGTTGTGATACAACCTTTAGATCATGGTACTAATCAAGTTACAGTACAAGCACGAGAAGAATTGGCTGAGCATATTGGTCACAGCGAGCCTAAAATTATTTCTGATCAAAATTTGGCTATTCTTTCACGGCAACTTGCTTTGCATGCTAATGTAAATATCATGAAAACTTTTACAGAAGAATTAGCTGTAATGTAACATAACATAACATAACATAACATAACATAACATAATATAATATAATATAATATAATATAATATAACATAATTACAGCTAGCCTCAATGGTTTGTTCGTCTTTGAAGCAAAATAGTCATAATCCATATGCTTCCAATTGGTTGGAGCGCTTACGTCACATCAAGCGTTTAAGAAGCAGAGTATTGCAAGAATACATCAATAATAATCCGGAGACTGCTACAGACGAATTATCACCAAGAACCAACAAACGAGTGTATATGGACGACTTCACGGAATATACAACATAGTTATTTGTATCATTTATAGAATAACACTATGATAAAAATATTAACGAATGGAAATGTTTACATATTAGATCAAATTAATGCATTAAACAAATAAATGTGCATTAATTGTTGTCAGAGTATTTTAAAAGCTCACAAATTATCCAAAATTAAATGTATAATATATTAATATATTAAGAAGAATGATACTTTTTGTTAGAATATATCGCAATCTTATATAATTGATGTTCTTTGCTTGTAACGTAAATAAAAAAATGGCAGTTACCCTAATTTGCGCATTAAATTTTTTTTTAGGATAAGAGATTGAACATAGTCAAATTTGGACAACTTATAAAAAATTTATATATATAATTTATACAAGTAAAGGATGGAAACATTTCAAAGTATGGCTACGAGATAACTTTTTGAAAAGTTTATGACATTCACATGTTTTACACGTTCATATTTAGCTTTTAAGTACTAATCCCTTTTAGGGTGGAGTCCCATGAAGCGTATTTGCCGCGTATCGCGTAACCGCGTAACCAATCAATAATCAGTAAAACGCGAAACCACAACAGCGGATCGCTTCTGATTGGTTACGCGGTTACGCGATACGCGGTAAATACACCTCATGGGACTCCAGCCCTACACTGAGTTTGATACGCATATTAACTATAGTGTGTGTGTGTGTTAGGGCTCTCGCACATGAAATGCATAACATAGCATAAGCATAACATAAGCCCGCTAAACCAATGAGCATCTTATGTAAATCAATATGGCGACATTATGCTAGATGCTCATTGGTCCAGCAGTCTTATGTTATGCTTATGCTCTGTTATGCATTTCATGTGCGATAGCCCTAACTCTATTAAATTATCTTCATTTCAGCAATGTATTCAAAGAATGATGTACTAAATTGATACAGTATGCATTAAAATGATTAATTAAATGCACATATTGTATATATGTTTACAGGTATCGCCGAAATTAACCCTTAAGGCCGCAGCACACGCTCTTGCATAACGCATAATGCATAGTACATAAAGGAATCAACCGATCAAAATTCTTCTTTCCCATGGAATGGGAGGAAAGGAAAGATTCTGATTAGTTAATTCGCTTATGCACTATGCATTATGCGTTATGCAAGAGTGTGTGCTGCGGTTTTTAAGGCTATCGCACATAAAATACATAACGGAGCATAAGCATAACATAAGGCCGCTAAACCAATGAGCATCTTATGTAAATCAATATG